AGCAGTCTCAGCAGTGACTCCTATATTTCCCATCTCCACAGACTCCTCAAGTCTGGTCAGCTGAGATACATAGTCCCTCCATGGTGTCCTGGGTCGTCCCCTATGCCTCCCCTCAGTCTGACGTTCCCTGGAACACCTCCGGAGGGTGGCGTCCAGGGGGAATCTGAAAAAGATGTCCAAGCCACCTCAGCTGACTCCCCTCGATGTGGAGGAGAAGCAGCTCTATTCTGAGCCTCTCCCGAATGGCCGAGCTCCTCACCCTATCTCATAGGGAGAGCCCAGCCACCATGCAGAGAAACCTCATTGAGGCAGGAACTCTTCTCCAACATGAATGGGACAAGCCACCTTTTTCCAGCTGAGAACCATGGCTGCAGACTTGGAGGAGCTGAGTCTGATCCCTGCCACTTCACACTCTGCTCTAACCACCCCAGTACTGTAGGACTTGGCAGGTGGGAGCTTTGTTTTCTTCTTCTTTTTATCTGCTCAGCATGCTTATTAGTTATTTAGCGTTTTGGCCTGTATTGTTTGTTTATCAATTTTTCTTTTGCATCCGTATCTAACTTTTGTGTCAACGTATCCTGCCAGTTTTCTTTTTTCTTCTACTTTCTACCTGGTTGATTTTGTTGGCTAAAAGCTACTCTCTTCCACTCCCGTCCCTCTAGCATATCAATGCAGGCTGTGATCTCTAAATGCAGTTTTGCTTAATCCCAAATATTTAGTTAAAAAGTGATTGACTGGTTCCACCTTGCCCTTGTAATGCTTTTGAAGGTAAAAGTGTCAAAGATGTATGTTTTCTTTTTAACAGAAAAACACCTTCTCAGAAACACATCAAATATTCTAAATGAAATACATGATTTGCTAATTATTTTCCTGTTAGTTAGCATCCCCCTATGCACACAACATAGCATGGGCCTAGTGGTGGCTGTGTTCGCCTGTGGGTACAGGTGCTCTACACCAGTTAATTAACATCAGTGGAGTGTGTCAGGAGAAGGAAAGGAAAACATGCTGCTGTCGGCAGAAGTGGTGAATATGTGACTTTGTAAACTCTAAACTTAATTTTACCTCTAAAGGAGTGAGTTCTGAGTTTGCATTCTGCAGAGCTGGGTTTAATTTCAACCCAATGGGTGGAATAAACTAACACATATCCATAATGGTGCAAAGACTGTTGCTAGCTGTGAAATCATAAAATGGTTGAATCTTAAATGTTATGTTTGTATTCTGTGCATTATGCATGCCAGATCTAGACATATGTCTAGCTGACTTTGATCTCAAGCTTGCATGTGTCAGAGCAAACAAATATTCTTGCATCAGGTGGTTTTTCCCTTTAACACTTAGGAAAATATTGACGTTCTGTATAATCCTCTGTCAGCAGATTGATATGATGCCATTTGCATTCTTGATTAATGGAAGTGCAGAAACATGCAAGGATATCAAATTGATGGAGAGAAGCTGTTGTCATTGTGATCTTCATCTGAGTCAGTCCAACATTGCTGCCGAAAATATTTACACTCATCATTGAAATGAGCGAATTGAGGGAACTTGTTTTAATTCTGTGTGGATTGTCTCTAATCCCTTATAGTTATATGTACGCCCAAAAAATTTAATTTTATACATTTCTTCACCCATAATGTTACAATCATTTGGTAAAGTTTGACTAAAAACACACACCATGCTACACATGAGCAATCCTATTACCAGTAATAAAGGTCAACAAGGGAACCAGTAGGGTTTCCTTCTTTTTACAGTTGCATCATATAAGTACTGTAAGGCAATAGCTTAGACAGTTCCACAGTCAGGAGACGTTTACCAAAAATCATAAAGGATTATAATACAGCATGCACTGAAAGGATACTTTGGATCAATTTAATTAAATTACTGTAATTTGCTACACTTACCGGTATATGTATTATTTTTTCTTAAATTAGATTAAATTAAATGAGAAAGCTGAAAGCATAAACTTTGATTTATTAGAAATATATATATTTTACCTTCAGTGAAAGAACAAAACTGCATTCAAAAGTTTAATTTTATTTATTTCAATTAGGAAATACATACCTTTACATTTATTTACATTTACATTACATTTACATTTATTTCAAAGAGTAAATACATACCTTATTGACCCTAGACAGGATTTATAATTCATGATAACTTTTTTTTTTCTTTAAGTTTTTAAAACTGTGAAAATAAATAGTTGTATCTTGAACCTGAAATACCTCGTAGTTCTTAAAATTGTTTCAGTTGATTGTTTCCATGATAAGGTAATATTAATTCTGAATAAAGTAAAATCATTGGTTTCAAACAACATAAAATTTTAAGTTGACCAAATGACATGAACATTTTAATTCTTTTAGTGTATAAGATACTACGGTCAAATGAAGACCTAATGCTAACATCGAATAAAAAATTTGCCACAAGAAAGAGAAGTGTGTGTACATTATACGTTAGGTTTATTGCACCTTAAAAATTTTTTATTCTGTTGCAGAATTTAAGAGTTAAATCTAACACATGACTACAAAAAGTTTTGCTGCACTTTAGCAAGTTAAAAATAAAAAATTTGGAATATTTTGTTAATAGACTTTTGAGAGCCGCTCTATAAACATACATCTAAACTAATATTTAGTATAAAATTAAGGGGTAAAAGTAGTTATGTATGCATATATATATATATTTATATATATTAGGCAAATGAGTATTTCGACCACATCATCCTTTTCATACATGTTGTCCTACTCCAAGCTGTGCAGGCTTGAAAGCAAACTACAAATTAAGTAAATCAGGTGGTGTGCATCTCTGTAATGAGAAGGGGTGTGGCCTAATGACATCAACACCCTGTATAAGGTGTGCTTAATTATTAGGCTACTTCCTTTCCCTTGGGTAAAATGGGTCAGAAAAGAGATTTGACAGACTCTGAAAAGTCAAAAATTTCCAGATGTCTTTCAGAGGGGTGCAGCAGTTTGGAAATTGCGAATTGCGAAGCTTTAGAAGTGGGATTATCGCACAATCAAGCGGTTCATCACAAATGGCCAACAGGGTCGCAAGAAGTGTGGTGAAAAAAGAAGATGCAAAATAACTCCCCTTGAATTGAAAAGGATCAAGCGTGAAGACACCAGATGGGCCAGATGGATGGGCACCAGGTTGGATCAGTAAAGGGCAGAAAGTTCCTTATCGACTCAGACGCCAGCAAGGTGGAGGTGGGGTACTGGTATGGGCTGGTATCAAAGATGAGCTTGTGGGTCCTTTTCGGGTTGATGATGGAGTCAGGATTAACTCCCAGACCTACTGCCAGTTTCTGGAAGACACCTTCTTCAAACAGTGTTACAAGAAGCAGTCGCCATCATTCAAGAAAAACATGATATTCATGCAGGATGATGCTCCGTCACACGCATCAAAATACACCACAGCGTGGCTGGCCAGAAAAAGTCTAAAAGGAGAACAAATAATGACATGGCCCCCTTGTTCACCTGATCTGAACCCCATCGAGAACCTGTGGTTCTTGATTAAATATGAGATCTACAGGGAGGGAATACAGTTCACCTCTCTGAACAGTGTCTGGGAGGCTGTGGTGGCTGCTGCACGCAATGTGGATCGCAAACAGATCAAGACACTGATAGAATTTATAAATGGAAGGCTTTTCAGCATCATGGTGAAGAAAGGTGGCTATATTGGTCACTGATTTGTTTTTTTTTGTTTGTTTTTTAATGTCGCAAATGTTTATTTCTGGATTTTGAGTTGTTATATTGGTTTACCTGGTGAAAATAAACAAGTGAGATGGGTATAAATTTGTTTTTTTTATTATGTTGCCTAATAATTCTGCACAGTAATATTTACCTGCACACACACAGACATCCTCATAAAATGGCCAAATCTAAAAACAAAACACATCAACTTCCAAAAATATGAAACTTTGATATTAAAGAGTCTTTTGGGTTGATTGAGGACACAATTGTGGCTCAATAATAAAAATAATCCTCAAAAATACAACTTGCCTAATAATTCTGCACACAGTGTGTATATATATATATATATATATATATATATATATATATATAAATCGAGAGAGAGAATTATTTAGAGCGTAAAAACACTTTTATATTTTAGATTTTGAGCCTTTAACATTTGATTTTTCAAGAAAAAAAAAATAAAATATTAAGGGCAGCCCTAATATTTGATGGATTCAAAATGAAAATGCACAGACATTCTGTATGAGCTAAATATTTGTTTATAATTCCAGAATTTTTCAATCCATTTTTTTTTATATTTAGCAATAAATGCCCTGTCGTCATTTATTGAACACCTTTAGAAAGAAAGTTTTGCATCACCTCTTGTGAGCTTGATGAAATATAATCCTGAAAGTAAACCAAAAGCATTTTTCACACTTGGCAGATGGTGTTTTTCAGCCAGAAAGTTTCTTAGATACAAGAACTGAGAAAACCAAGTGCACAGATGATGTTATGAGAGCAGGAAGCAGGGTCAATGCAACACTGGGGTGGAGCATAGAGACAAAATTCAAAGTTGATTCAAATTTGGACACAACTGGATTCCCACACACGGATAAGCCTTCGTTTTTGAATGGATAAAGCAGCATTATATTATGCTTAAAATCCTTGACTAAAGTATACAGAGAAATGAGTGTGCCTAACAAGAAAGCTTTTTAGAGGTTAGAGAAAAAAACACATGGCTGATAGAACTTGCTTCGGACATTAAATCAAATATTGGTGAAGGTGTATGCATATATGAGGATACATATAAAACTTAGATTATAGAAAGTGGACAATAATTTCAAACTCGTGTTTTCAATTATATCTGAAAAACAAACAACCAACACATCTAATGCACCAATAAATCCCCCGCATAAATAGCACTCATGGTCACTGAGTGCTTGTAAACTTCTGATTTTAACAGAGCCCTTTAACACCAACAACACCCACACAACAATGTTCTCACATGAAGCACCTAATAAGAATTCAGAAATGTAAGTCGTTTATATTATTTTATTATGTTTTTTTTTTACAAAAATATTGTACATTAAAAACACAGCTTAAAATATACACAGTTCACTTGGTGATGCAATAGCTGCAAAAACATCTCCAGTCAAATATATCAGTTTATAGGTAAATATATCTTTACAGCAAGAATAAATCCTGCGCCCACGATGATGCAGCTGCAGGCAATAAAATAAACAGGAATATGGAATCTTCATTTGACAGCAGGGAAGTTATGAGAAAGACTCAGCCCACAGATGAACAGGAGATCCTCATTTTGGATCAGTGTCAACAAATTACAGCGAGGAAACAGGTCCATCCACCTACAGGAGGGGCAGTGTTAAGTATTCACACTCATTATAAGCAGTGAGGAGCTCGCTGATAGACACATGTTTGAATACATTTTGGAGTTATTCAAATTCCACTTTGAAAAGCCTTTTGTGTTTTAAAAAAAATATTTTCAATAATATAAAATCTTTTTTTTCTTAATTTCTTAAAAAAAATTACAAGTTCCAACAGAGAAAATAAGTTTCTTTTCTTCTGAATAAGAAGCCAAAACTTTGTTAAACATGTTTTTGGACCCAAATAGAATAGCAAGAGTTTGAACTATTATGAATAAGTATCCTGTTTTTGCCGTCTTGTCATGCTTAAATGTTTCAGGTTAAACAAATATTACTATCTGACAGATATATTGAGTCACAAGAAGCCTTTTTTAATGATTTGATTTACTTAAGGAAATGCCGACTAAACCAGACTAGCCCATTGTGGAAATAACATTAAATACCTTCGTAATCTTAACTTCACTATGAAAAGTCAGTTTTCTGTTCAAGTGGACGAGGCCCTGTCCTACAAAGTGAGATAATGGCCCTAAACTAAAGAAAATCTATGACAGATGTTTAACAAAATCATGGACATCTTTTTAATCCACTCTACAAAATCAGCTAAGAACTGCTAAGTTTTGTAATTACTGACTCTGTGTCCGCCTGTCTGGTGTGAGTAGTAAGTATGTTCTTAAGCTTAATTTTCATTTACTCTACTGCTCTTCTAATATATCTCTTCATTAACCTATCAAGAGACTACAGATTTGAAAAAGAAAAGCACTCAGAGACGCTGGCCTCCCCCAAGTAGCTAATTTCCTCCGACGTGTTGTGACTTCCATGTTAAGTTAATGTCTGTATTCACAGAATCTTTCGAATAAGGGTAATCAGTAATCGAGATCATCTTTTTTGCAAGTCACTATACGCATCTTCTCTGAAAGTTTAAGCAAAATCAGTCCAAAACTTTTTATTTATTTTGAACCAGACAAACCAAGTCTGATTAAAACATAACCTCCTAGGCGGAGGTAATTAGTTTATGCTATAATTTAGAACGGTAGGTCAAATTTTTTAATTTATTACTGCACTGTATGCTGTCCCTTTTTAAATAAAGTGTATTATAATTAGTTTTGAGGTCCAAGCAAACCATAGTTTAAACCATTATTCACAAACCGACAGAAATATAGAAATGGTGTAAATATTCCCAAAAGTCCTCATGCACTCACACTTAAGGCCAGTTTAGAAACATAAATCAACAGTTTTTGGACTGTGGGAGAAAACCGGGCTACCTGGAGAAAACCCATGCATGACCTGCATACTAAATGTAGAAAGATCCCAGGTGTTCAAACTCAAGATATCTTTTCTGCAAGAAAATAGTGCTACAAGCATTTCTTTGATGACCTGAATCATTTAAGTTTGACAGATAATCAATGAGAGGACATTAGCATTACATCTGCATACTATTACAGCATTTCAAAACTGTAAGTTGTTTTTGATTAATTGCATTTATTTTACCAAGCTGGGCATTAATAATTATTTTCTATCTTATGTCCTAAAATGTTGCTCACCTGTGCACCTGAGTGATCACTGAACTACACCTGTTGCACATGGAGACATAAGAACCCTGTTTAAAAAATACTTCTGCTCTTTAAAACCTTTGTTAATGAGATGTTGTTGAAAATGACAAAGCATTGAAAGTCAGGTGCATTTGTAGACAGAAAAAAAAAATAATAAAGGGATTTATTGAATAAATAACTGCAAAATCAGAGCAAAAACATACAAAAGAGTTTCGCATCAACATTTTTTAATTATTGATCAGTCCGCTTGAAAGAGCTTTGTCCAGTGCTTCACCATCATAGAAGTTCAGAGTAGAAGCATAATGAGACTGTCCAAAGAGGCGGCAGTAGCCAGAGTGATGATGGGGAGGGCCGGACCCCCAAAGGTGAAGCAGTGTCTGAGGTGCAGGAGCAAACCTCGTATCCGTTCTCTGCATGATCTGGGTGCCGCTGCACGTTGACTGCACTTTTGGCATCAGTGTCTGGAGAGTCCGACTGCATCTCGGTGCAGAGCAGCCAGTCCTTCGCAATCAGACGGGGGTATCCCGTCTCCGCCTCCATGTCACTGTCCGGCACTCTCCAGTACTCCTTTCCCTTGAAGAAGTATGTAGAACCTTTAGAAAGGGAGGACCAATGTTAGAACTGTTGTGAAATATTTTTAAATGTAAAAAATAAAATTTTATATGTGGACTATTACTAATGAATTACTTATTTATTTAAATATGACAAATCTGTAAATACTGCAGCTTTTCATCCATATAGATAAACATTTTTACTTGGATTACTGGATTTAATTAAAATATTTTTTTGGAAATTACAATTTTTTCCAACATATGAGGTCTGTAATTTAAAAAAAAAAAACATTTGTTGGGTGCAAAACTTGTAAATGATTGTGGATCTTCTCTTAACCACATGAGGTTACACATAAAGATACACATGCAGACTTAAATATATATAAATGGTAAAATACACAAATATACTATACAACAATGTACTACTTACATTTCCCCAAATAAAAGGTTTTTCTAGATCAGGCCAGACATACCAATGTTAAACCTTTATAAACTGGAAAATGCTGTAACACTAGGGCTGAGTATTGGCATGTGTGTGGTGATATAATACGTGTCACGATACTTGGGTCACAATACGACATTTTCATGATTTACAATATCACTATATATTGTGATATTTTCTTTAGATATCAAAAAGAAATTAATTGATAAAAAAGTGCGGTATATGTTTAACAGAATCCATGTTGCTTGGGGTTCGAGTCAGTTTACTGTCACGGTCTTGGTTCTGTTAAGTTTCACTTTGCTCCATGTTTTCTAGTTTTATTGGTTTAATTCCTATTTTGTTGCATTTTCTGGATATATTTGAGTTCTAAGGGTTTTATTTGTTGCCCTCTTGTGTTGATCTTTTCACTAGCTCCTTGCCAGACTGCTCTGTTCACACCTGCTCCCAATCTGCTCGTTAGTACTTTCTTTGTTCAGTCTCCCATAAATACACTCCTTGTACAGTTCCTCAGTGCTGGTTCCTCATCCAACATTGCCTTACTTTGTCCTACCTCCTCTTACCCTGGCTCCTTGTGATTGTTTTCCCCCGATGTCTCCATGGTAGTGGTTTGTTTTACATTTTTAAGTTGGAGTTTGGATTCCTGCCTCTGTAAACTGTTACCAGTAATTAAAACTGCAAGAACTCACCCCTGCCTCTCAGCCTCTGCATTCAGGTCCTCAAAACCACAACCAAATTGTGACATTTACGTCTTCTATTGTGACTGCTTCAATTACAGAAATTGCATTGCAAAGCAAAAAGGCTCCACGGCACCATCTACCAGAGTGGCAGTGCAGAGGTGGCCTATCTTTCCTCATTGTTTTAGATAAACATGTGATTTTGGAAAACGTATCTAGGTACTGAAAGATAGAAATTATATTGGGCAGCCGAAAATCACAATATAATTGGCAAATCAATTCTTTTTACAACCCTAAAGAACACCTTCTCACAGTAAGGCATGTTTAGTTCCAACCTGAATACTGAATACTAAAAACTCTTTTAAAATATGACTTAAATTTGCATCTACCCACATGGACACGTCCACTTTCCTCTGGGGAAAGATTAGACAAAGATTACGTTTTTTGGGCTTCAACTCCAAAAGAATATATAGAGACAAACACACTTTACTGGATTTCCACCATGGTAGTGGTGAATTATTCAAAATAACCACAAAAATAAAAAATAAAACAAAAAAGACTACAACTATAGGGTGAAACTTGAATATTAATAGATGTGTAAACATGAACTTCTTAATCACACATCAAAAACGGCTTTAGGCATTTAAAGCAAGCATCAAGTCTGGAGTGGACCTGGTTTTAACTATTTGATCATTTGCAGGTTATAATTAAACACTAAGTCTGTGGCTAAAAAAGGAAAGTATTTGAAAAAACTATTATCTTTCATAGGAAGACTGGTTGTGCAATATATCCAGCATAAATTATACCTTGCCAATGTCTAAAACAGTATGTAAGCTTGCTAAATATTTAACAAAACAGAGTGCATTGTTTTTTTATTTGAGCCTGTATAAATTGGATAGAAAATGTACAGTACATTGAAATATGTGCAGCTACCTCTTAAAAATATAGATATTTAGAAATGCATAATATAATTGTCATGTTCAGGATGTGTATGTAATTTTCTAAAAGAATGTTAAACATATCAGGAAGATTTACAGTTAAAAATCACAGTCTGGTTAAAAATATAAACCATTCGCATGTGGAAACTTTACTCCCAATCTTTTCCCCTAGAACCAAGTAAACATAATTTAGCCGCCAATTACATTTGTCAGCAACAAAATGGGGGAAGCAATCTAGTCATTTGAGAGCGTAATTTGCTGACATGAGGCTCTGTAAAGCTGAAATTAAAGTACACCCTTTATTCAGCTGATGTACAAATAATAACAACAGCGAACACACTAGTGTTATTCATAATGTGTTGTCATGAGCTTGTATTATGTATGTTATAAGATGTGTTCTAGTTGTATCTTGCAACTAGAAGAAAAAATAACCAAAAAGACCAGAGTAGAAGCCTGTATCCTTATTAAACCCATAAGATGATTGTACTTTCAGTACAGCTAGTAGCCGTACATTAATGTTGTTTTTCCTGTGTGGCATTACTTCTGTTATATTTAAAGAGAACCTTCATCTATTTGGATCTGATTTAAAAAATAACAATCCAGCTTTTCTTAGATTAAATCAATTTTGAGTAATTTTCTTAACCAGTGGACTTACAGAGCCAAATCCTTTGGGCATTTTGCTCTCATGATTGCAATGTTTCACCAGACGTTTGCAGGTAGACACATCACTCCTCCTCTTGTCTCACTAAGGGGCCCTTAAGTTAATTGGAGTCACTGAAATACTAAATGTAGTCTGACACTCTCTGCCTCTGTTAAAAATGTCACCTGGTTGTACACCAGCATGTGATGTAATGATGTCAATTTTCAGGGCAACATTTCTACTACACTCTTTCTGTGCTCCTAAACAGAGTCAAAATTTGGTACTGGACTGAACATAAAAGCTGACAGAATCAATTTCTTATATGAATGTTACTCTGGAATAAGGTCCAAAGCTCTCACACTGAATGATCTTTTTAATTTACTCTGTTTAAACAGAGACACAAGGCTTTATGAACTCATCCATTTTACAATACACCTAAAACAAAGTATGTTAAGTGGAAGGTAATCGCCTTGGCCAAGGCCAGATGAATAGTATTCATTTTCTTTATTAACTTACTAACTGAACCAAACAAGTAAAGCAGGATATAAACAAATCACAATAGCGTGCTTCATTAATAAGGAGTAAATAAATAAAGAGAGAAAGAAAATGAAAAACGTCCTCTCGCCAGTAATAGCTCACGTTGAAAGAACTCCAAGGACTGTAAGTCTTTAGTGGTGAGTGAATGGTTTCTCAGCAAGGGAGACGAGTAAAGACGGATGCCCTTGATTTATAACTCCACGCTTTTGCCTTGAAATGAAATGGCAAGCACACGTCACACTGTTAAAGTAAAGCACACAGTTTCCTACAGAAGATGAGCTTCTTGTAATCTGTGAGGTTTAAAATTGATGAAAACAATGAGGACTCTTAAAGGTGAACGTGCATTACTTAACGACCAGTTTTATTGACATACAGGTTCATCACAAGACTTTCAGCAGATAATAGTGTAATAGAGTGTAAGAACTTGAAACGCATTGTTGACTTGTGTCTTTTACCTAGCAATGCATACAGCCGTACAATGTACCCCTTTACTAAAAAAATATGCCCTGTTTTTTCCCCGGGACACTACGCTCAAGGGTCCAAATTTTTACAATCAGCAGATGCTGGAATTCGAAAAATTTAACTTTTGGTTCTCAACGAACCACATCAGCCAATCAAAGAAGCTGATCTGGGAGTTGACAGGGAGACATATACAGCACTGCTGATGCAGAGACCTACTGTATAACACTCCTCTAAAACAGTTTATTAAAGTCTAAATTACCTTAAAATGTCAAAACCTGCCGGCAATATATGTTTGCTTTTATTATTTTGGTGGCTACAGTTTGTGCCAAATACTTGAAAAATGCTAACATCTACTTCCAGTCACTTTGAACAGTAGCAGGAAACCCCAAAGAGGCGACCGGGCCAGAGGAAGCCGCTGCAAGGGATTCCCAGTGACAGCGCCCTGCTGGTATGTGAAGGGGACTGAGCAGCTCCGACAGTGAAATAATATAAGGCAGGATCGTAATCTTGATAAACTGACTGCACAGACGATGTTTTGAGGTGGACTTTCTCACATAAAAACATATGAAAACTACTTTTTACCCACTTATCATAGCAAATATAACAAAGCTGCTCTCTGCCATTGAACATAGGAGCAGCAGAAGTCTCAGATGTATCTGTACACATATGTTTTATGATGGCATCTTATGTCTTCATTATGAAAGTTCCACCTGTAGTCAAACACACTTGCATCAATCAGGACAAAATTTGTGTTGTAACAAAGACAAAAACTTAGCTGCATTCCACATCAATATGAAGGAAATAGCATTTCAGAGAGTCTAAATTTCAAAATTTTCCAGGGGGAGGATACCGCGGACCCCCCTACACTGTGCAAACCTTAGAGATGTGATACACCGAGGTATACGCCCTATGAAACATTCCTAGCTAAAAGCCTGCCCCCTACATATAAACTACATTGTTTATATGTAGGGGCGACAGTAGCGTCAGGTGCAGGAGTTGTGCAACCGGAGGGTTGGTGGTTCGAGCCCCGGCTCTGGATTTCAGTGTTATGTGTCCTTGGACAAGACACTTCACCAACACTACCTAATGATGGTGGTCAGAGGGCCCGGTGGCACCAGTATATTGCTATGCAATAGACGCCAACAGGCCATCTAAGCACCAACTGCAGGCAAAGGGCAGAAGGGCCTTACTGATAGACACAACGACTGAGATGGAGTGGGGATTAAACAGGCAACCAGCTACAAGATGAAAAGATGCAACAAAGTAAGTTGATAGTTATAGAGACTAAAATCTTCAATCATTTGTTAATTCTGTATTACAGTATAATATTATAGAGCAATCGCAAATCA